CGAGTCGAGTGCCTTAACCACCTGGCCATGCCGGGCAAACTAATATATAGTGTTTTGAAATGGATATAGAATTGGAACGAAAATTGCGAAATCTCACGTAAACCATGCATGAAAATAGAATAAAAAATAGATACACCATAAACTAAAATTTATAAAAGCACGGTGTAAAAAAATGTGAAATAAAATATACGTCATAATATCTTTACATTTTAAAAACATATATATATTAGCAAGACGTTTCCAGTAGGGCGCCCTCTATCTAGGCCTATAAAGAAGTCCTTGCCTAGTTATGTTTTAAGTGCTAAACATTTTAAAGTGTCTTTTACTGTAAGGATAAATATGAACTTAATGGTATTTTAATAAAAACGAATGTGGTAAATAATAATTACTTTGGACTTCTATAAATAATGCAACAAACTGAAATATATTAAGATTCTTTCTTAAAATTTTCATAATCGTCTAACTAGCACTGCAGTTCCTGAATCCAGTGTCTAATGGTCATAATTTCTTTTCTTTGTGCGTCTCCCAGCGGGTAAGCGCTAACATTCGGGGTTGGATTCCCCGTGGTTAACAGAGCGAAGATAGTCTGTTATGTAGCTAAAACAAAGAAACAAGACTCTTCTTTTTGCGTGAATGAAGATTGGCGCAAATGTTGACTGTCATTTCGTGCACATTTATTGCATATCTTTAACTAAACACCTTTTGTTTTGTTTTTTCGAACTATAACAATAGTTAACACTTGAGCAGCGTTATTTTCATCGAAAACAAATATGTTACTATTTTCGAACAAGGTGAAATGGTTTCTTTATTGTTATTATTGTATAATGAAAATTATATATGATAATAAATCCGCCATATTTTAATACTACAGCGTGATTTTAACCCAGTCTATATTTTAATACTTGTACCAATATCACTTATATGCTTTAAATTGCGCAGGTGAATACAAGGAAGTCTAATGTATAAATATTTAAAATTTAAATCCTTAAAATCAACATATAAGTATGTTTTACATTTAAAATACCGGGATGGACATCAGTTAGGAGTTGGTCTTTTTTCCTTCAATTTCGATTTGTTGATTGTTTGTTTGAAGTTAAGCACAAAGCTACGCAATGGGCTATTTATGATCTGCCCACCACGAGCATCGAAACCCGGTTTCTATCGTTGTAAGTCCGCAGGCATACCGCTGTGCCACTGGAGGCCTTTAAGTTCGAGTAGCAGTAAAATATTGTACATGAGTTGAGTGATAAGGGAATATTTCTAGAACTGTCCAGTACTCCTAGCAGAATGTCACTTTTGAGGGCAAGCATTGATTAAAAATTCGTAAGTCTGATAGAACAGCTCTGGGACCAATATACATCTAGCAAAAATTATTCATTTTTACCCACATGTTTATGCCATTAGTTTAATATTATATGGGCCAAGATGTACTCAACTGTTATCTCACTGGTTTACATCTAGTTATGTGTCCAAACTGTACGAAGATGTAAAAGGGTCAGCAGGCGTAATAAAACAGGCGTCTATTTGTAGTCACGCAAAACGCTACATTGGATAAAAACACTTTCGGGAATTTCTAACGATTGTTACGTAGTTTTTGTCTGACAGTATATTTTAAATCACCTCGTTCACAACTCTTTAACACAGAATATTTCTCGAAGCAGTTACTCGCCACATAAAACAGTTTCCCTCACAAATACACTGTACAGTGTAGATAGTTAACACTTTGGATTATTGCCAGCCCGTGGTTTAGAATATTGTTGTAACGGTTTCTGTTGTTGGGCGGGTTCGTTTTGATTAATCAGTAAAATTAATACGAAGTCCGGTACACTTAGTTAAGCAAAAGAAAAGCGATTTACTTCTTGACTGTAACTTACACGTTTTACACGCTACATTCGTTGATAGGGCTAACTCACAAATAAAACTACTTGTTAAATTTTCTCCCGTATCTACGACACAATTCAAATATTGGCTAATTAACACACTTAGTAACTATTCGATAACACAGTAATAGATTCACTAACTAATAACAAGCTGACTGACTCATTGATTAGTTCTCTAACTCGCTAACTGACAGATTAACTTTGGTGTTTTTATACAATTTTTTCAAGTCTCCAGAAAATTCGAGAAGTTATTTCAAATCTAAACACTTTGGAAATTTCTAGATATCAGGCGTCATCAATACATCATGTTGTAAACTTCCTCTAGCAAACAATACGTAACATCTAAATGAAAATATTAAAAAGTGTAGCTTAGAATAACCTTATAAAAAACTCCGTACAAACATCATGGATAACTGTGGGAAAATCTGACTGATATCTTCCTAAAATATTTTGCACGATAAAAAAAAAGCAGCATAAGCCAAACATTACAGCAGTGCGAAAATTCCAAATTATGTCTAGATATTATTTTATTGAGGATTTGTTTACACTCCTAGGATAAAAAGATGTAAAACTTGTTGATACGCTTTATTCCACTGGAACAGTAACATTATAAGTTACTACAGGGGATAGCCAAACCTCTGTAATAATTTTGTCCTAATAACATTACGTTCTTTACAGTAAGAAGAAGTTCGTCTATAGGAGAACACTACATTCACACACACAGGTTACGCGGAGAAAATACTTGACTGAACGCGTTAAGCCTTTTTGAAGACTAGTTTTTACTCACCCACATACTAAATGTATGTAAATCATGGAAAACTGATGAAGTTAAAACCTAAACACAATATAGCCATCGTCTTATAATAAGTATTATAAATTCATTCCTACCTTTTGCGTCATTTGTTTATTAATTACCGAGATTTGCGATATTGAGCCACGGCTAATCTTCTCTTAGCGAAAACTGATGAAATATCGACCCCAATGCACGTGCGCAAATGGGAACGAATTATGGATATCCACGCAAGTCTTCTGGAAGCAACTCGCGCTATGAAACCGCTGCTCGTTTGCTACGCACGCAGCACGTGCGCAGCGTACATGTTGGTTTTGGATAAATGTCGCGTGCGGGCACGTGCGAGGTTTTATTAACAATGTTGGCAGATGGTTGCGAGACTACAATACAGTTTTCCTACAAAGGACCCAGCCCTTACAGCTGGCATCGAGACGAATTGTTAGGGCTCAAAAAACATCTGGTGATCACAACGAGGCTGAAATTACAAGTGGCGGAACGACAGGGTTTGGGTTTAACGGTTTTCTGTAAACTTATGCTGAAGCTATGTTTCAAGGTAACGGTTCACTGTATTTAATGGACTACAGTCCTTGTCTTTTCGTATAACGGAATCTGGACTTTCTCTTCCACGTGTGGGTGCTTTAAAACTATCAAAATACATATTTACGTATATAAGTACAAATAGACCGATTTATTATAATTTTAATTAGATAAAAATTCCTTATTTTAAATTTAACAGTGCCTTTCCTTAAACGATTTATACAAAACATACTGATATGCGCTTATATGTGGGGAATGGTGCCCACAGAACGAGAGGGGAGAAGGGGAGGTCAAAATGAAATAGATCACCGGTAGTTTTATTTTACTTTCCTTAATTATACTACAGCGTAGAGGGGGACGTAGTCGTTTGAGAGAGGGGTGCAATCGTACCGTATGTTAACTGTAACACTATGTTATTAACTATTAATATAGACAGATTTTCCCTTTTGACTTTTGTGCTACTGTACGTGGCGTTTAGGTGTACACGACGTTGAGTAATCGGCTCATTTGGGAGAACACCCCGTAGGTTTGTGTGTGTGAGAGAGAGGGAGAGAGACAGAAATAAAGAGCATTTATCTAATTCCAAAAGCACTTAAAAGATCTCACTACATTTATGCGCCATATTTAATTAAAATAGTATTCATTGGCGCACGAGCTTGCTAATACCATGTACTGTGATACGGTGTAAAAAGCCGAAAGTTAGCGAAGCAACGGAACCAATAGACCTAACATTTGTAATAAAAATCGCTCAGCTCACACATACCCTTCACGCTATAAACTTAAACAGCATTTTGGACAAATTTTTGTCTCTCATCATTCAGTCCAGCTGATGAGTTTGGACATTAACCGAAGGGTCTCCTCGATAGTGACTCGTGGGAGATAAAAGACAGGTCTTAAATGCTATTTTTTGCACACATCTAATCTGCAATCTTAAATTGAGAAATTAAGAGAAACGCAAAAAAAAACACATCTGTAGTTTATGTGTTTTTTAACACATATAAATTGATCATTGTACATTCTCAATGCATGAATAAATACTTTATTCGTGTATTGTTTATTAGGGAATGAACACTAGTTTCGAAGTCTTTGTTATGCCGTGAAGCTCATGTTTTATTTGATAATCCAACAAGGTTGAGATCTCAGGTTTTATCATTTCTTCATAAGAGCTTCTACCCCTTGCCAAGTGAGACTTTGTTTGTGTTTTTATCGCACTGAAATTAATCGCCAAGCTGAAATAAAATCATTGGGGTGACTGACACGGTTTGAAATTATATTAATTACTATTCTGACACTATATGTATATATATATATATATTAAAAAAGACTAGGTCTTTTACTGTTGAAGACGTCGGGGAATACGACCATTTATCGGGTTTATATTCCTTTTGGACTTAATTCCTGCTTATTTAAAAAAGTAAATAAAAAATTACGAATCTGTAGTATATTATCGTCAATGGTTACGATGACAAGAGAAAGTCATATTATGCAGAGAGAGAGAGGGCAATGTATGGGTTGAAAAGTCATGTTTTATTGACATTATGACTTACGGCACCACATCCGCTATTGTGATGATTGTCCTAAACCTCTGAAGTTCAACACTATCAAATTATGTCTCTGAGAAGAATACTATTCTGTTCAAACATGTATAAAACACATTAACACAAAAAAGGGGAGAATGTTCTATCTCATTCTTAACTACTACGTTGCTAATTGTTTCACTCTTCCCCCCCCCCAGTGACACAGCGGTATGTCTGCGGACTTACAACGCTAGAAACCGGGTTTCGATACCCGTGGTGGGCAGAGCACAGATAGCCCTTGTGTAGCTTTGTGCATAATTAAAAACAAACAAACACTCTTCCACTAAGAGCTAAAATATTAGAGTTTCTTATAATTACCCTGACATCTAGTGGTTTTCTTTCGAATTTAAAAAACAAGTATAATGTTTTTTAATGAATTAAAGAAGTACTGAAATGAAAACAAAAAATTATTTCACGGTGGCAGCTTTTAGAATTATTATATGGAACGTTTAAAACAAAATTAGACGCTACTGATATTTATTATTAAAATCGCTTTCAAATGGCGGTTAATAAACATGTAGCAATATAATACAAATAGCATAATTTGTTTTATACTCAGCTTTAAATGTTGATATATAACATAGCAAACATAATTTTGTATGTGTTAAGCCAACTACACTACTTATGCATTAATTTTATGCAATGGCTTTCTGTATTTCATATTTTTTATGACTATAATATTTAATAGAATGAAAAATTATATTAACCCAAACGTGAAATGGTAAAATTCATATGAAAATCACAATTTTTAAATTTTAAGATCTGTTATTGAACTCTGTACAATCGAATAAGAAACTTAATGATCCTTCCGAAAAACCTCAAAAAAGTTAGTAGGTATATGATTTATTTTTAATTATTTCTTTAAAAAAATACTATGCAAGTGTTTTTGTCGCGTTCACTATATTGGAGATAATGTACTTACAAATTATAATAATTAAAATAGAATTCACAGAACAATTTGTTTCGACATAAGAAAAGTTACTTCCTCGGGCAATAGCATTGTGATGTCACACACACTCAGAGCGACCTCTGGACGCTCGTGATTGTTGGTTTACGTTATCGCGGTTTTGTAAGTACAGGTGATGGCTGGATTGAAGTAAATAAGGATAAGAAGCACAGCTGCGCGGTGTTGATAATAAGTCTATACCTAAACCTTGGAATCAAATGAATAATCGCGATGTTTTCTAAACAGCAATAAAAGCAAAGAATGGTAGAATTAAATAATAACAAAAATATACTAACATTTCTCCATTATACTTTCAAGTTTATTAATTCAGAAAATTAAATTAATCGTATAATCTTCTAATAATAGTATAATATAAACTTTAAAGTTTTCCACAGAAGTACGATGGTTGATTATGTTCATCAGTATTACTAATTAAAGAATAAAAATAAACCAACATTTTCCACAACGATTATAATTCCTATAATATTATAACCACAGCAAATGAAAACAACAAAAGATAAAAATTGTCTTCGATACCTATAGATAAACAACTTTCTTATCAAAACACAAATTGATTTCCCGATGTTTTGTCCAAGTCTTTTCCATTAAGGTGGATGTAGCAAACAAATCAGTTTCGTTTTATAAATAAATTAACAATTATCAATGTTTCCATAAAAATAGTGACATTTTTTAATACACGAAGAAAGTAATAAACTTTAATAATGGAAAAATTGAGTTTATCAAAGAAACTAAAAAACGTAATCAACAGAAGTTATTTTTTTTTTTTTTTTTTTTTTTTGTTATTCTATTTGAGTGTGATGGTCTAGCTAACAGTGGAACGCAAACAGAATTATTAACTTGCAAGTACAGCTGCACATCGTCACATGCGTTATAGGCGGTCTTACGGCAGCCATTTGGAGTTTCTTATATTATTGGCCCATTCAGCAGGTGGCCTGTAAGATTAGAGAGACGGTTTCATTTGGTATTGATAACATTTTTGTTTGAATGACAAGTAATTAATAAAAACAGTTTTAATTGGATTTTTATTCTGGTATGTTTTAGATAACGAAACCGTAGCGCATAATACTTTTTTTTTACCATTTTGGTTCTAATTCGTACGTAATTAACGATATAAAACAACTGATGAAATAAGCGTTCTTTTTTAAAGATAAAACCTTTGCATTTTCATCGTTGACTCTAGTAATAAACTAAAACAATGCCCACTACTGCGTGAAAAATATTTTAGGTTCAATGAAGGATAACAATAGTTCATAATGTCTCCCATGATGCAGTTAATAAGTAATAAATACTACAAACTCTGGAAACGCATTAATACATCTTTTACAAAATGTTTCATAGATATTAAAACATAATGCAAATCTTGAACCATATTATATTCATTAATGAATGTTTGTAAACAAATTGTGGGAAAGGAAATTAAATGAGAACATACGAGTTAGGGTTTCTGCTACTGTTCTACATTCGTTCTCTGGTTAATCTAAGTCTACATTTCTACGCAAAGAGTCGGGCTTAACGCAAGGTAGCTAACTAACTGTATAGAGCCCCTTACTGTGGAGAACATGCAAAAATACTTTTATGAGTGATTCTAACACATGAGGCTGCAAAACCCAAAAAATCATACGGTTATCCCATCAATGAATGTACAACATCCTTCTGTTGTACAGTTCTCGTCATTAAAGGTGATTCCATGTGTCGATAAGTTTGTTTCAAAATTATATGTACAGATGTTTTGATTTTTTTATACATGCTATATGGCTATAGTCGGTGTGAATAAATTAATATCTAATTGTATGTATGTGTTTTTTTCTTTTAAAATTCCGTAGAACAGTGAGATAGCGGACTTCTGGTTTTCAATAAATGAAGAGTCTTTGTATAATGGGAAAATGTCCCATTGTTCATTGAAATGTTAGGTATGCTAGTATGAAAAAATATTTTTACTGTTATTATTTATTTTCATTTTTTTTTTAATTTCCTGCATTTCGTATCTTACCTAGTGGCTTGAAACTAGTTCACGTAAAACAAAATTGGTGAATCGTGTACATTTTATCAATCCAGTACGCTCTATCAGTCGTATACCTAAATATTGATTACATTATTTCCTAACTTATAACAAACTGACCACTGCTGCATTACGAGATAAAAAGCAGCGCGAGTATGTCCACTTACTCAACATCCTTTACCTGAAAAATCAACAATAATCGTGCACATTTTTAATATAGTTTTCATCAAAATATACAACCTTCAGGGTGAGAAGAAATATGAAAATTCCTTTCTCAGTGTCGCCCCCCAGTGGCACAGCGGTATGTCTGCGGACTTACAACGCTAGAATCCGGGTTTCGATACCCGTGGTGGGCAGAGCACAGATAGCCCTTTGTGTAGCTTTGTGCTTAATTACAAAATAATAATAATTCTCAGTGTCTCCGCAACCGATTTATCGGATAGTTTGAGAACATACAATAGTTCTAATC